AAAGGCGACTGGGTCGCGACGGGCCAGCAGCAGTCGTCGCCATTACTGGCTGGCGTGGTCGTTTATCTGTGGAGGACACGCGAACGAACAAGGAGGTATGCACTTTCGGGCTTTCGGGCCATAAGTGCGGTGATACTAACATAAGGGTTGTGAACGCCGCTCACGGGATTTCGACCGGCGATGTGAGCATGGCTGTTTTCTAGCCGCTTGAAGACTGTTAAGCGCAGAGCACATGTTGCTCACCTGAGTGCAAAGGAGGCGCACAGTGTCTCTCAGGTCGTCGTAATCGGTGCGATAAGCGGCGGTGGGTGTTCTGGGAGGACCGGCTGATGTGGGCGTGCGTCGGGTTGTGCAACAGCATGACGCTTTTTCCGCATAGGGAGTGTCGTGCTCTGGTAATGGTGGGCCTTCTGAATCAGAGTCAATGCCCTGATGGGGCTTGCCTTTGGAAGGCGGTGACTGTCGAATAGTGGAACACGAGGCACCAATGGGGTAACACTCTTTGATTCGGTCAGCGTGGGTAGCTAGTTTCTCTAAAGGTGTATTCGAGTCCAACATGGCCAAAACCTGCTGCATAGGCACCGGTAACTTTTCTAACCAAATCTCGCGAAAAATGGCGTCGTCCATGTGCTTACCAGCGAGAAGTGAGCGCATGTGACGCATGAGCTGGGAAGGTGTCGAATCACCTAGCTCTACTTGAGTGAAAAGTTCCCGCAGCATAAGGTTGGCCGTTTTAGCTACCCGTTGGATAACCGCTTCCTTCAGCAGCGTATACGGTTTGACGGCTGGAATGGGGTCAAGGAGGTCTTCGACGGTGACAGCTACATCAAATGGGAGTGACTGCAAAACGTACGAATAGCGGGTACGCTCGCTAATAATGCGGCTTGTCACAAAAAGAGCCTCGATCTGCCTGAACCAAACACGAGGGTTGCTCGGGGTAAACGGTGGCAGTTTAAAAGAAAGGGTGTTAATGTCGAGTGAGTCTTTTTGGGAGTCGTCACTGGCCATGGTAAATGGGAAAAAGGTTCGGAATGCAGCAAAAAGCGGGGTCACCAGTTTTGTAGAGGAAATGTGGACTTAGAAACTACAAACAATAATATATGCAGGAAAAAACTAACTCCGAATGGGGGAATTGTGTTTACCAACAAAAAGAGAATGTACAGATTGAAAGAACCAGAAAAGGAATGTTCCAGACTCACGTAAGGTAGAATCCTACCAAGTAGGGAGATAGTGTCCCGATGAAGAAATGGTTGAAGGGAGGCTCTAGATTCCGCGATGGTCCGTTGAAGTCAGCTTCGAGGAAGAAGTCTCCGGCAGCACGAACGAATTGCTAAGAGAATTGAGAGGTGACAAGCGCACGCCAAGAAATAACGATGTCAAACTCACTCGAGATCAGAACACACGTTGACCGCCGTAGCGTTGTTGTTGTTGTGTATTTTCGTTTAGTCAAACAAATGTACAGGCAGGTCAGGTGTACAAGAAAATGTAGTGAAACAAATCAAAAGTGTACAAAGGCCTACAGGGGTAATGATCATACGGCAAGGCAGGCGCAAGAACCATGAATGTCTACCGACTGTTCTATCAACCGCCACACCAATTTGCCTCGACCCTATCTGGTTTTATGGATATTCTTGAAGGGGAACAGTCACGGCGCGGGACAATCGGGGCCGTCATTTATCGCCGTGGCCGTCGATGATGGACATGATTCAGGCCACGGTGTTAGCGGGTCGGATGCAGCCACACAGGCGGTATTTGTGGGTCAGGCATCAAATAAAGTACGCCATATAAGGAAAGCTGTGCGCATGACTTCTCAGTCTCTGAAGATAGGAAGAAGAAACGTCTGCTCAAAATTTCAGACCTCCAATATACCTCTCCCGGTGAACGCCTCCTTTTCTTTTGATATGCCACCTAGGAATCGCATTTTCACTACTATTGAGAAGCCTAGTTTATACCACTGGGAGCCATCTCAGTAAATTACCATAAGCATACAACAACTTTTCTAAACACTGTCTTATCCGCTACTGTTAAAGTCGTTTATGGCATCCTCTAAAGGAATAGAAATTCTTGTCTGTTTTTGAACGAACCGCGCACCATTGTTTTTTTGGATCATTTATATTCCTTGCGCAAATTCGACAGAGAGGCTATTGGCCGCGCTCTTCGAATTGCGCTGCGATTGAGATGCAACGTTAGTATTTTATATTTAAACTTAGTATGTAGTTTCATGTTGGCAATGTCTACGGAAGCACACATTTATAATTGCCATATTCTCCAGTCTCTGCGTTGGCATTGGCTTGGGTATTCTTCTAAAATTTCTCCGTGCACCGGAGGATGTTAAATTGTGGCTAGGTTAGTGACTAAATTTACATTTCTTCCATAAGGAATGCCTGGTGAATTATTTTTGAGAGCATTGAGATTTTGCGTTATTCCCCTTTTGAGTTGCAACATAATTTCAGGTAATCTATATTTTATGCCAACGGATATTTTCACTCAAAATAGTCGCCTCAAAAGTCAATAAAAGGACGCACGGAAAGTACGCCATGGTGGCAATATCTTACTGTTTCATCATGAACATACTGTCATCCTTCATTGGAGGTCTTCTCACTTTGGCCATAAAACCTGGTTAGTGTCTTCCCCTGTAATTGTTTTTAGGTGTTTGGGCGGGCGGCGTATCACCAACGCAGCCTGGAATTGCTACTCCAACTTTAAGTATAAGCAGTATGCTAATGGATTTATTACGGCAAGTTGATTTTCATAAACGTTTCCATTTGGCTTCAAAACTTTGATTATTGATTAATTAATTGCAATTGCAGATTCCCTCTGACATCATTTTTCTGTCCAGCTAACAATTGTCATTTAGACGAGTTCACCTAAATGCTTAAGCATTTGGGTAACCATTCGCAACTTAAAATTCCGTACAACTACACATACCTATGAATTTGTTACAAACTTTCAAATTAAATGATTTCAGTTGGGTTTTTGGCAGGTTTTAGGGACAAGCAGGGATAATAATACAATTTATGTCAAAATATGGCTCTAACAGGCTACGGCTTCTATGCTGATCACAATGTGATTCGTCGCATAAAACCCATAGGACAAAAGAAAAGCAATTGTAAAGTTTGGTGCTGCACCCGTTTCGAAGTTCATATTCAACTAGGGCGCATTTGTGTTGACGACCGTGAACGTTATTCGATCTGGAGCCAGGCAACATGTCGTTGAAAATATACGGCAGCCTTAGCGACTAATTGTGAGCACTATTTTGACGCGTTTTCTGGCATTTCACAGGCGTAAGTTCTGCTTCAGGTGGAGTTGGATATTTCTATGTAGAAGGAGTTTCCTTGATTAACTCGTTTAGTAATTTCGATCAAATCTTCTTGTATGTACTTCTTAGTCTTGTGTCTGCCTACAATCATATCACCGCCAAGAAAGTTAACGCAGACATTACTGCGTAGACTTCCTTCGAATGTACTTATGAATTAGGGCAAACCGACTACTGCAGTTTCACCGAAGGTATCGGTTGACTTTAATGCGAACCAAGTACTTCGTCTTCTAACCCATATATATTATAGTCAGAGTAGACTTATTCGACATCATTGTCGTTAAACCATCTGTTCACAATATCCTTTGTAATCTGTAGGTTTCTAGAGCCGAAGTTTCCTTCAAGAATGGGCTAAAACCGACTGGTTGGTGTTTAATGTCAGTTGTCTGAAACTTTTTAAATTTTGCTTTCCAACGTCTCACTCGGGTTATTACGATTATCAAGCACTCAGAAGATAAAGATTTATAAAGGCTGCTTGTCGGTCATTCGTTATTTGACTAGACCTCCCGCTGAATGTGAGCAACCTTTCAGGTTACTAATGGGGAGAGCGAATGCATTGGCAACTTTTGCGTAACATCACAAGTTTCGATACGCACTTATCATTCGTCGTTTGCCTAACAATAAGGCCGAAGCAAGTGCCATGATAGGCTCCAGGAAGGAAGACTGGTTGACGTCGATCTTTGGGAAGGAAATTTATGTTTTTAATCGCTCCAAGAAATTCTTCCAGCTACATTTTCTAAAGTCACCTGTGATTGTGGTCGTCTGTGCTTCAAAATACATGCTAACAGCGATTCAACCATGTAGGATGATTATTACTTTAGCCATAACGCATGCCTAGAGAGCATCATTTGGAGTATTCTCGAGATCACCGACTTTCTGATATAAATTATGACTCTAGATGATGCTGAAAGCAAAGAGTAACCGATACGTTAAACGAATGTAGAAAATTATGACGTTCACAATCACTGATATTACCTGACTGCGACTGTTCAGCGAAGTTGCAATTTCAGCGACCAAGCAGAATCATAACCAATTATAAGAGTAAATCTTCGGCAATTTTAAGCTTAACAGGCCCCCGAAGTTTCTGGCGCGAATGGCTGTCAAGTGATGAGATGACTGGGTTTATGAGACTAAATGTGAGCTCACCATGGCTCACGCAAAACATTAAATCCTGAAACGTGGGATCAGGTTCAACCGGTTCGACTTAGCAGATTTAGCAGCACTCGAAGGGCGCCAGCGAACGTCTTTCTAGCCACTTCACACACAAATCTATCTTCATCCGTTTTAGCGTGTGGTTTCATTATCAAAGTTAAATGCCCGACTATGTTTTGATTTTTCGGATATCTGACATCATAATTTCCTTCACATTTTGTTTTAGAAATATGTTCCCGGACAACGTCTTCAAAATATTTCTCTCTTCTGTAAGAATATCGCTTTTGTCAATGTCTTGCCTTCCTTGTCTTTTATTTTATTTTCTTCATTTTTATACTTTAATGGACTTACTTTATAGGTCAGTACTGTGTACACACCACAGGCCAATTCTTCATCTCAGTCACCGAATGCATATAAGCAGACCTTGCAGGATGTTCCTGGCGTAAACATAATAGGTACTGCATTATTAAGCCTCTTAACTTACTGCGAATTTGGTATGTGAACTTGAAGTGAAAACATCGTTACAGACCTCCTCAGATTCATCCCAAACGTTGAGATAAATACTCGAGGCGATTTCTTAAGTTTGGCGAATTAAGCAGTTAGTATTCAGAAGCTGTCTACTGGCGAGCGATTGTGTATAAATTTGCACTAAGATTGGTCTACCTTTCTCCCGGAACAAGTGTTCCCGAAAGACCCAGACATTGTGTCTCATCGATTTCTTGTGCAGCTACGACGAGTTTGTCTCAGCAATACGTTCCCCGGCGTTCATAAGCGGAATAAAACATGTGAAGCATGTCTTCCGACTTCTGGCCATCAATTGTGCGGGGAACACTGTAGATTAATCTTATGAAACCACGCTGTTTCGTTATCGATTGAGTAGTTTGCAGTTCTTTCCTGTTAATTAGTGCACTATATCTTTAGGTAAATGCGGGACTGTCATCGAGATGTCAACGGTTTAAATTATCGAGGAAGTAAACAAAGTCGACCAGAGATTGAAGGGAACTGACATCTCCCGAAGATACGGTTTGTCTTAGCGAAAACCGTTTGTTTCAGCTCTCTGTTACAGTTGCCACGTCAGTCATCTTTGTGAACAAGGGGATCTTCTCTTATTCTATAATTCCACAACCACAAAGTTTGGGTCTACGCACACCCATGTGGCTTCTGTCGTATGCACTCTCCGGTCAATTGCAAATCCATTGCCCTGAGACTGACGAACCAGTGCCTGAAGCAATAACATGCACCGGACGCCATCGTCTCAATTTCCTGCATTGTCATCACACATCCAGCCATTGCATGGGCCTATTCGGTCACCTGCGCATTCATGAAAAGGCGCGATAAATCACCACAGACATGACCACATGACCACACATTTCCGCATCAACACATGCACCACGCATAAGTATCTCCAGCGTCCCACTACACCGGCACCTCCACGTGGCTCCCCTGCTACCTGTGCGATCTGAACGGTCTGCCTTCTTGTATGTGAAGTCCTGGTGTGTGCCTATGGGGGACCAGGTCGTGCACGTGGCGCGCAGACGAGCTCTTTAGCTCACTTAGGCATTACGCCTACTTCCCACATCATACATCTGCCTGGCTCGGCCTGTAGCCTTGTGCCTGGTGTGATCGACGGTTTCAGCTCATATTCCTTATTATAAGCAATCTGACGTGCTTGATTCTATCACAGTGCGCCAAACGCCGTGGCTCAGAAGACAGCCAACTGGTGGGATACATCAAACCTCGCAGTTAGCCAACTCTCTGTTGTGTGGACTGGCGGACTGGTGGCCTCGGATTTAGGCTGCATTAGCTCCTCCTTAATGTGACTTCCATGACACTCCCACTCAGTGGGATCCAAGTCGCCTCCTCCTCCTCTTCCGTCGTGTGTGAAATCCAGGTCAACTATTTGTTGTGGACCAGGAAGATGTGGTGGTACGCCTATGTGCGGCTTTTCGGCTTACCAATCACCTGAGCCCTCTCCCGCCTCCGGCCTTCCTGATTCTGTCTCGACACCGTGTCCAGGTGGGAGGAAGAGGGTGTGTGGTAGATACACCTCGAGTCTGCAATTCACTGTCGCTACTCTCATCCTGCTGCGAAGCATATGGTGAACGTCTTCGGCCACGACGGTCACATCGTCATTCGGCATTTCGATAAAGCAGGCTTCTTTTGAGCCCGGGTCGTCCTCACCTTCAAGTAGCAAGTTTTTTTTGCTTTGTTGCACTTTTAGTAAAATTTGCTTCCTCCTTGAAACCACTGGTCTTTTTCCATCTTTGTAGGTCTACTGGTTGCCAGCCTTGTTATAGGTATCGCGGCAGGCGTGGACTCTGGACAGAGTGAAGAGTTGTTTGTGCGTTTTTTCACCGGTGCTGCCAGTGTTTTGATGCGCATCCTCAAAGTAGTCATGTGGTAAGTCAAGATTGTGTTCTGTCCCTCGTGCTTGAATAAAAATGACTTTTCTCGTTTGCGTGCGAGAAGCACCGTAGGCTCTTGTCGGATTCCTTCAGGAAGCTTCTCTTGAGATGCAGCATTCGTGCAGCATCCCAGGACGTTTTTACAATATTTTGTTTCCAACAGCGCCGATTTTGTGGGTTTTTCGACTTAAAATGCTTCACGACACGCAAGCTCCTCCAGGCCTTTTCAACACTGCAGAGAAATGGACATTCTAAGCTAGTTTTTCGAATGTGCAAAAAGCATTTTTACGATGAGGCTTATCTTCATCATTGTTAATGTCGACCTCGATTTCTCTTTACTGGCTGTGACAGATGGAGCCGGGACAACCGATCGATGGCAAGGTAATGTTTGGCAACTGAGATGGTTGTTATTGATGGAGAAGAAATCATATTCAGGCCGCGATACTATTGGGGCGAAAATGCTTGGTTGCAAACGTCTAAACCGGAGTTAGCATGGTCTACCAAGATTTTCCAACAGCCGGAAATATACATTTGCCTTGGTCAGTAAAATCTTGTCATAACGATTTCAAGAGGGAAAATGATGTTCACTCAGACAGGACATACCCGGACACTTCCTACCAGGATATCTCAGTGGCTATAAACGGAAGTTTGAAATTTTCATTGGGACGCTTTGACTGTAAAACCAAGTTGGGTTCGAATTAATTTAAAATTCCTATCAATTCTTGCCCATTTGTTGCCAGATAACTCAAATCCTTAATAATGGAATGCCTCCATACGAGTGAGACGCATTTTTGAATGCGAATCTAACACTGACTTGAATGGATTTTTCTGACCAAATGAGGTAGAACATTTCTGCGTGCTCCATCTACTCTGGACTCTGGAGTCCGCAAAGTTCCTCGCAATGCAAATGGAAAGAAGATTCAAATTTGAAATGCTTGCTTTCCCGTACATGGGCGCTTTTTCATCCACAATGGTAATATTTACCCCTAAATAAATAATGTCTAAATTTCGCTTACTGGGCGATCACACTTGCTGTGGTTGCCTGCAAGTAAAATCGGAGACGGGTCTCCAGGAAAACAGTAGAGAGAAAGGTCAATTTGGACGGCTGAGATTTTACCGATTTGACGTCCTGAAGGCACATTTGGTTGAAGGGTAGTCATGCGATTCTCGGTTTCGCGGAGAACCAGCAGCGAGGCTTGGGGCTTTTCGGCCTAAGCTGGCCTGATTATCCCTTCTTTTGGTGTCCCTTGTCGTGTGAATAACTGCTAAGAAGCTTCAGGTTTGTCCAGCCTTGTTTGTTCAGGAGAGTTTGGCGTTTTCTCCTGCAAGTTAACTATACGCGAGCGCGCAATTGGGTGACCAAAAACACAACAGCAAACTGGAATCCGACTTGCCATTTGCACGTCGGATGTCATTGTGTGAGGTATCGTCTCAACTTCACCAGCGTGTCTCTCACTGATGGTCGTCCAATTGTATAGACAATTTCCCCAAGAAGCTTAGTAGGTGTCCTAATACTAGTAATTTTACAGTGCAGGTAGACGCAGTATGTACATGTTCATCATTAGGCTCGTTTACAGTTATTGCGGTTATTGGAGACTTCGTGCGCACTTTCTGTAGTTACTTCAGCCCAAAACCAACCATTCATCGATATTATGGCAGATTTTAAATAATTTTGAATAATTCCTATTGTCTTAACTGTGAAAAACTCGGCGCCTCGGTGGGATTCGAACCCACGCGGAGTTACCATGGTCTACCAAGATTTTCCAACAGCCGGAGATATACATTTGCCTTTGTCAGTAAAATTTTGTAATAACGAGTTCAGATGGTTAGAGCGTTGGCTGTACTAAAGCCTTCCCCTTACTGCGTGGGTTCGAATCCCACCGAGGCGCCGAGTTTTTCACAGTTGGGTCAATAGGAACAAAACCAACTAGTCAGTTACCTGCCTGCGGATAGTTGCGGGCTCCCTGTCTCCAAATCATCGCCCAATCACATTCGACGAGGTCTCAATCCCCCTTCACCATTCCCTCTCCTCTATAAGAACTTAAGGAATGGGATCGGCTTAAAACATTTGGCTCAAATCTCGCCCTACTTGAAACTGTGGCATTGGTCTGCCTTTCCGCTCGAATAGCGATTTTCTTTAAAAAGCAGAGACTTGTTTCTGCGGCCTTATTTTTACCCCCGACATTCCAAAGTTCCGAGACATCTCAGCCAATCAACTGCTACAGTGTTCCGATTGTCTTCACTCGTCATGAAAAGTGCGTCATGCCTTTAGTAAGTACAGGGAAGTTCTAGTATTTCGCTGCTGTATGAGAGTTCGAACCTTTAATTACTGTTATTTGACCTGTTTCTAATGCTATGGCTTCTGTTCACAGGCTGATCTGTGACCAACCCTGAAGCCCGCGTATTTCGGTTTTCTTGGCCGTCTCAGATTGCATTAAAGCTAGGCTGATTCCATCTGCGTCTCTGGTTCTTCTAATCCTCAAATTAGGTTCCTTCCGCTCGGCGTGGGGTCTCTGGTTCTGCGAGCCATCTCAAAAATCGATGGAGCCGAGGGCACAATGAGAGCGTTGGCCTTGTTTGTTGTGACCAGTTTTGCGTACCTGGGCATCCTCGCATTTGTTCTGCTGCCTACCATCTACCTCGTCTTCGCCCGACGTGGTCTCTGCAAGTTCCTAATTCTGGTCGCCAGACCCATGCTCACCGCTTTTTCGACCTTGAGCTCGTAGGTGTTACTTCACAATTAATTTCCTTATTCTCGCTCATTTGCTTCCACTGGCACTGTCTTGTACAAACACTCCTAAGGAGTAATTTCGCTTTCTTTATGTCGGAGAATATTAAAAAAAATCCTAGTCGAATTGGCAGTTTACCCCTTCTTAAGCAGATTGTGAAGGGTTTACTCCTAGCTACTCTTAGAAGTACAATTAAATCTTTTTTCTATCTAATTGGAAACTCTTAAAAGCCGAAGGAATCAGGGTTACGTTGGTATTTGAAGCCTCAAAAACAATTTGCAAATTATGCTGAGCGTTCCCCTTTGAAAACTGCTCATCGTTGGTTTTAGGGTGGATGAGTCAGTACGATGTCATTTAAAATCACTCTATCATTAGATAAAATAACACCACTTTCATGCCGGACAGTCAGGCTGATATTCACAAACATAAATAGGCCACATTGCACAAATTTTAATCACGACTTTTCCACGGCGGTCGAGTCACTTGTACAAAAAGGCCTATCATGCAGTATTCTGTTTTTATAAGCTGTCCATGAACTTTAATTTCATCTTTAAATATCTCGTCTTTTTTACACAAAATTGTCCCAGTGATGCGCCTTGTCCATTTAGGAGAACGCCCAGACTCGTCGGATTTTCTAAATTTAGTTTTTTCGTACATGCGCTGAAATCTAGTCAAGTGAGCTTGGTAAAAGGTGCCTATAGAAGATGACTCTTGCGTTCGTGTTTCTATTAGCAACTTACCTTGTGTAACTCATATAAAACACCATTTCCTTCAAGTTGCTATTTCGAAAATTCACTGGTGATAATATGTTCTCTTAAGGGTACTATTTTGTGCAGCCGAATACGGTGCGCCTTTACCTATTTCATTTCTACCCCTCGACCCAGAGAAGCGATAGGTTGCGATTTACAGATCGGTGTCGCAAATCAGTCGTCTGTCCAAATAAGTGCCTTATGACGTGCAAGAAGTCTGCTGTGGTCTGGTGCACTGTATCGGCCTGTTTTCTTTGTCAATAGGCAAGTCAAGCAGAGGTAAAGTTGAGCTCCCCCAGTTCTATGGCTAGAGCTGTCATTTCCGCCGCTGTGTAGATTAGAAGCCCGTATTCACTTATGCAGATAATTGGGCAGTTCGGATGTCACGGACGCGCCAGGGATTGGACGGAGGACGTCTGCCTTGCCTCGATTTTGTTTATTCGACGTTGCCTTGTGTGTCCTGCTTACAAGGTCAACAAAGTCCCGGTCGCGGATTTGCAGCGAATCTGCCATTGGCAAGTTTTCACCAAGATAATCTTGGACACACAGTCATGGGATTGGCCACTTTTCACGTTCCTACTGTTAGTCCCGCCGCTTTTCTCGTGCTTCTAGTGTACAGTGCGTGACCGATCTCATGAAATGCTGGCCAAAATTCTGGAATGCGTTTCCGGTTAGGAAGGACTACTTAAGTGGGGTTGTTGTATTGATTGTCATGTAGCATAATCCTATAACATTTCGGACACGCCAGGATGTCGGCTTTTGAATGCACTTCTTTTTGACCTCCTGCAGAAACCACACTCGGTAAAGAATGACTGCTTAAGTAGCATGCATTTTTCCAATTGATTTTCGATGGTTTTATGTATTCAAATATATTTTGCAGAAACCATGCACAAAAATATACTTCCCTTTGCTCATTTGGTAGGAAATCACATTGTCTTCATATTTTATGCCCGAGTAAAGTGTTTATTTAGGTTTTAAAAAAGTTTCCCAATTCCCGAATAATTTTCAGCGTTCAGCAATTTCCGTCTGCAATGTGCATACTTTTCGCGTAAGGAAAATCATATATTCCTCTATGCCTTTAAGAAGATACCACAGAGAGTTCACGAAACTTTGCAACGAGTCCGCGCTGTGTTGTACATTTCATGAGGAGTATAAGTAAACGGACATGCGCGGTCTTGCGTGCATGGACATCGCGCGGTCTTAAAAATTTCATAATTAAAAACTTTTTTAAAACCTAAATATACACTTTCTTCGGGTATAAAATATGAAGACAATGTGATTTCTTACTAAATTAGCAAAGGAAAACATATTTTGTGCATGTTTTCTGTAAAATATATTTGAATTTATAAGACCATCGAAAATCAATATGAAAAATGCATGCTACTTAAGTAGTCATTCTTTACCGAGTGGGGTTTCTGCAGGAGGTCAAAAAGGTGTGCATTCAAAAGCCGACATCCTGGAGAGTCCGAAATGTTATTGGGTTGTGTTGCATCTTAATCCTAATCGGAAACGCATTCCAGAATTTGGGCTAACATTTCATGAGATCGGTCGCGCACTGTAGGGTTCAAAAACTGCTTACATTCTTCACTTGCATGCAGCCAGCCGCGAACAGCTCGTCGAGGTTACATCCAACGTTCATTTGTGTATCAGAATTACAGGCGGTCAGGTTATTTTGTTGTTCTCTTTCTCGAAAGACTTTAGTCAATGAGCGCTTCTAGTATTATAAGGACAAAATGTAGCTCTCCTTGAAAGGTGCATAGAAAGCATTTCTTGACCGCAATTAACGCTCCCCGTGTAAAAGTGTCCTGAGAGTGTTTCCTGCCAAGTGTCTCATGTAAACACCATTGCTGCCAACAGCCGTCGTGACCGTGTCTGGTGTCCTTGTTCAGGGCAAGGTCGCGTCAAGGTCATTCGCCTTCACAGCAAACGGTTCCGGGCGCGCTGACCCGCAGCCACTCGACCGACTCCAACTCGGACGCACACGCGTTCACAGAGTCGCAGATGCCTAACGCGCCACTTGAACACACTCCCACTGCTTTGACGCAACAAATTTATGACCCCTAAGGGTGTTTGCTTCCAAGTGTCTTCTTTAAATAAATAAGCGCCTCGACATGAAAACTCGGCAACGGTATGGAGAAGGACCCCACTTAACTGTCAGTAGACTGTGGAGCGTCCCATACGTGATTTATGGTAAAAGGAGTTTTATGAGTGGGGCAGCACGCTAGACAGTAAGTTGACGAAATGAAAGAAAACACAGAAATAACCTCGATTTATATCGAAAATCCTATCCTACGCTATTGTACGACAACGGAAATGGGAGAAGTGATTAAGCAATAAACATATATTAAATTTCACAAAATAACGGATTTCGAGTTAAGGTGTGAAGTCGTGGGAAGTAGTCGCTGATGGGAGTGTAATTTCTCCAACTGCTTACAAATGTATGCTAAGATAAAGCCCCATATGACACGATTCACAGTTAAGTGGGGTCCTTCTCTATACCGTCGCCGAAAATTCTCAACCGTACAACCCTCTACTGCTGCGATTTGTAACATAGAAAATCGACCGGACAGAAATTCATTCTGCCCTTGGTGCGTTCAACGCAAAAAGTTCAGCCCGGAAGACAATGTTTATCGGAAAAAAACAACTTCCAACAGTTTATACTCCTACGTACCAATCACACACTTCTATACACCCCACGCATAGGCCTGCTAATTATTTACACGCAAAGTTTAAGGAGTGCCCCCATCAACACTGCATCCCATGCTGTGTTAAGTCAAATAACGGAGAGTTGGAAAGAGTAAATGTATCTTGTCCATGAATTTTGACTCCTCACCCGCATCGTTGACGTCTGCCCATAAAAGATGGGCCGAATGCCCTGAAAGCAATTCACTCAGACGTGTAATGCATCAATTGGTATATCGATTTAGATTCCACGTACAGATTTCCCATGGTTAGAGGAAACGTGCACAATCAATACTGACCGGGAAACCGAACACGCTGGAGGCCTGCTGACGTAAACATTGGTTGGACTGACTTGTGTGGATATTTAAAAAGGACATGAGAACAGGAACCGCATGCAACTGGGGTGGCTTTGAACCAACTTGGATGCCCATTGGTAAATATGTACTGTATGTATTGGAGGATTGTGGGCGCCTGTTATGCCATTATTCAGCAAGCCATGGCCCTCGCAGCCTGATGTGACCTGACAGTTCTCTGGCACCTGGTTCGCCCCTCCCCCGTTAGATGCGCCTGCGCTCCCGCTGAGTATGTTCGCCTAGAGACTTGTGCCATCATCCTCTTCCTGGCCCATTGTTGCTGTTGGTCAAGTGTTTGTTGTGGAACAGGAGGCACGGTGGTACGCCTGGGTGCGGGTCCGGCTGTGCCAGCCACCTGCGACCTCTCCCGTCTCCGGTCTTCTTGATTATGTCTTGATACCGAGCTCTGGCGGGAGGTGAGAGTGCGCGATAGATGCTGTGAAAGTCTACTACCACTATAAGCTAATTCACGCACAAGTCACTGTGCCTGCTCTCAACTTGCTGCGGAGTACATGGTGGACGCCATTGGCAACGACGATCGAACTGTCAGTATCATTAGTAGTAGTAGTAGTAGCAGCAGTAGTAGCATCAGCAGTATTAGTATTAGCAGTAGTAGTAGTAGTAGTAGTAATGTCATCAGTAGTAATATTGGTAGTAGTAGTTGTTGTTGTAGTAACATTTGTAGTAGTAGCAGCAGCAGCAGTATTAGTAGTGGTAGTAGTAGTAGTAGTAGTAGTAGTAGTAGTAGTAGTAATAGTTGTAGTAACAGTGGTAGTAGTAGCAGCAGCAGTACTAGTAGTAGTAGTAGTAGTAGTAGTAGTAGTAGTAGCAGCAGTGGTAGCATCAACAGTATTAGTATCAGTAGTAGTAGTAGTAGTAGTAGTAGTAGTAGTAGTAGTAGTAGTAGCAGTAATAGTAATGGTAGTAGTAGTAGTAGCAGCACGGAGTTCGGGTGGGGGAGGAGGAAGAAGTGCGGTAGATGCTGTGAAAGTCTGCTCATTCATGCGCAAGTCATCGTGGCTGCTCCCACCTCGCTGTGGAGCATACGGTGGACATCGTCGAACGCGTCTGCCGAACTGTCATATATTTAATAACGGGGATAATGTGCATTCCAATATCCTATAACTAAAGGAGAAGTTCCATTGAAAATCAAGTTTCACTAGTAAATTTTTAAGCTGCTCACGCCAACCGGTCGCCAGACGGAATGAATGGTGGGTAGTGGGTTACCGCGCTAGAGAGCTTAAGGATACAGAGATTACAACGACAGACAGACGTTCCTGGGAGGGGGTGAAAAGGGCGTTAGCATAGATGCCGGACGTGAGGGGAGGTGTTATGAGTTTCACTTGTGGTTCGCCGTGCCGGAAGGATGCTGGGTCAGTGAGACTATGCATGGCCGAGCATGAATTAGCGGCTGTTGTTTTAGGATGAGCGTGAGTCAGTGAGCCGTGAACGCAGACCTTCATAGTGAGTGTTCAGGTCGACATGTTGATTGATGTTGTTTGTTCTGGAGTGCCTAACTTCGCGAAATCCTCGCGCCTTTTGGTGTTAGTAGGAGTAAGCACCTCAGTCCCGTCCCAAATGAAGCAGTGATCGCGCTCAAGGCCGTGCGCAAACATGAGAGACAAGGGACCCCGTCAGCGAATGGCCATCTTGTTCTCGTTAGTGCGGGTCCTAAGTCATCGGCCGGTGTGGTTAACATAAACGCAAGAGCGGCTAACACATGGAATGCGATAGCTGAGATTTGTTTGCTTCTCTCTGGGTATGGGGCTGTTTACTCGGGATAATCGTATGCGCAATGAGCAATGGAAATGCCAAACCGGAAATTCTTAGGGCGAAATTTCCGTGCACAGTCTCCATTGGAGTCGAGGCTTTGTGATAGTCCTTGGCACCTGAGACAGTTTTTCACAAAGCTGGCTGGATATCCGTTGAGCCGGACCAGCCGGTACAAGTAAGCCAGTTCTCCCCTAAATACATGCTAGCTACTGAAGTAAGGATAAGCCCGGTGCTAACAGGGTGGTTGCTGTCCTAATTAAAAATGATTTGGTCTTTGGATCCTTTTCGGTGAAAGGTTGTTGTGGGTTCGTCACCGCTAAGTCTTTTTACACTCACTGCTAGAAACGAGAGTATATCTCCTGTTGCCTATTCGCGAGTCCGTTTTAAAGTTGAGAAGGCGTAATTCAGGCTCTGGTGAACTTATTCAACCTCGCAGGTATATATGATGACGAATGTGTCATCTACGTATCTGAGCCTAGATATTCGTACAAACCCTTCTTCTAGTCGTTGCAGGACTAGTTTTGTGAGTGGCCCCCAATACTGGTGAGCTCGTTTGGATATCCTTATCCTGTTGAGAATACCTGCCATTGGATTGACAACCGTTATTAAGGCAGAGCATGAGGGGTTATCCTTTTCGTCTATGGCTTGGTACACCGGATAGACCTCACTTTTGTCAAACGCTATATAATACTTTCGTGAATCATTAGGTGCAGGACATGGAATTATGTGTCTGGTACACAACTTTTATGATCAGACCCGGACTTTCAATTAGCATTCGTATAAGGCCTTATACGAAGTGCACGTTTGTCGAAATGCTAAAAATCTAAGGAAGGTGGCCTACTTAGAAAATAGGAGTGCATGTTACATATTATGCGAATTCTGAGGGAAATATTACCACATACCGGAAGTTTAAATCGTAGTTACCATCCACATCAATAAAAGTTGAATTTTCTTTACACGAAATTTTGATCAGTGGACTCATTTTAGGTACCTAATGAATAAACAACGTGTTGACGTTCTGTCTACCATAAGTAAGACTCGCGTTTCGTTCTTATTTGACTGGTAACATCTTCATTCTCCATTGATTTCTTCCACTACATCCTACGATCTATTAACTGTCTTCTGATTGTTAAGCTTTAATTCCGTCTCGTAAGACACTTGCTGAAAACATTTTCAGGCTATACCCATTCTTATGGAGTCTAATAGCTTGTTCACGTCATTCGTTAACCACACCACCGGTAACAAATTGTAACGTTATTATAAACTTTTGGAAAACTGCGGAAACACCTAGGCGAAGCTTTGCCCGCTGACGCAATCGTAATATTTCAGCTGCGATGATAACCGACAACATGATATAAAAGTCCACTTATTTTCTAGTTAAGTTCGATAAATCCAATTCACTTTTGGTTATTAACCTTTCGGGGCCCAACAGTCTAAAGTTTCCGACTGCGGCCATCAGGACCCAGAGGCTTTTCCATTACAGTGATAGGCATTTTTGGCCAGCGTGGAAAATATTGGATGCTTGCATAGAATGATGTCCGATTTTTCGGCTTCATTACATATCATCAAAAGTTACTGATAAAATTTCACTAAACTGCCCTTATGCATCCCGATGTTCACTTTTCAGAATAGCTGCCCTACCTGGCGTCTTTCAAGTCTGTGAACAAATGGGAATGAATGCGCAAACAGCCCAACTACTCGGACCATTTCTGACAAGTTTCAATGCAAATGGATCGTCCGCTTTCATCGCCTCTTCTATAGTCTTCTGTGCCCAGTGGGCGGACCACCATATCAGCACTGAGAACATAATCGCGATTTTGTACGTGCCAAGAAGCGTTTTTGTGCTTGGAAAATTTTATAATTGATTCGGGGTATCCGTTTGCATGATTTTTTTATGAGGGGGTCTCATTTGAGGCGTCTGTTCGCATGCAGCAATCGCATCTGCAGGCCGGTCCACGCTAACCAATCAACTACAGTGAGTGACCGATCTCATGAAATGTTGGCTGAAATTCTGAAGCGCGTTTTCGATTTGGAAGGATTACTTGGGCGCGGTTGTAGTAGTAATTATCTTGCGATATAATCCTGTGATATTTCGGACTCGGCAGGATGGCAGCTTTTGAATGCATTACTTTTCAATCTCCTGTGCAAGCCGTACTCGGTAAAGAATGACTACTTAAGTAGCATGCATTTTTCCCATTGATTTTCGATGGTCTTGCAAATGCAAATATATTTTATAGAAAATACGAACAAAATATTCTTTCTTCCAGTCATTTGATAGATAACCACGTCAATTTTATATTTCTTACTCGAAAAAGGAGTAGCATTAGGTTTTAAAAAAGTTTCTAATTATGAGATTGTTCAAGACCGCTCAATGTCCATTCATATAGCATTGTACCTGTCCGTTTACCTCCGCTCCTCATGAAATGTACAACGTAGTCCGCATCCATTGCAAAATTTTATGAACTTTTTATGATATATTCTTAAAAGCAAAGAAAAATATATGATTTTCTTTACGCGAAACTCATGCACCTTGAAGACCGAAATCACTAATTGCTACTGCAACGACTGATCAGGCTCCAAATTATTCGTCAATCAGAAAACTTTCTTAAAACCTAAGTATACTCATTTTTCGAGTATGAAATACAAAAACGACTTGATTCTCTATCGAGTGACCGAAAAAGCATATTTTGTTCGCGATTGTTACAAAATATATTTAAATATGCAAGGCCATCGAAAATCAGCGGGAAAAATGCATGTTACTTAAGTAGTCATTCTTTACCGAGTACGATTTCTAAAGGCGATTGAAATGCAGTTCATCCAAAAGCTGACGTCATGCCGAGTCCAACATATCATTTCAGAATTCCAGCCAACATTTCATGAGATGCGTCACTCACTGTAATCAAGCAGCCTACCAATTAATCGATAAGCCCTGCCAACATTTTATGCACCTTACATAACGAATGGTCCTAAACGTGCTTCTGTCGACAGTGTTGTTATGCGTGACGCTATTTTGCGCCCCTAAATGACGGCGTCAGGGCAGTTGCAGCGTAAAGTGCCCTTCAGTTGGCTGTCGCGTCAAAAAGTGCAACACTTCATGTTTGGCGACCTGAGCCCAGCTTTGGTGGTAATAAGGTCACAACTTGGCCGTTTTACGCAGAACTCTGAATGGAAACAGTCGCGGGCTTTCCTTTTTTTCCCATCAGGTCTTCCTGCGGACCTGCTTTTGCACCATCGATTTGAAATCTACACACAGGGTAGGCGTCGCAGCTCACAAAATCTCGAAAGGACCGGAAGCCCGGTCAAACGCATCGACCAGAACCACCAGTCAATAATGAACGACGTTCAGTTGAATAAACCATAAAGGAAAGCATGGGCAGTAAAATTACCTTAAATTGAAAAAATCACTTTTAAAGAAAGATCGGAATGTTAACAACGCGAACACCCGTGTCAGAAGAGTTAACTTAATTTGTAGAAGTACATCATTTATGCTTATGCAAACCACTGAGTAAAAAAACATCTTAGGCGGAATAACGTATGGCAGTTTTGAAAAAATACGCAGCGTAAATATCCGCCGAGAATTAGTGTAACATACAGGATGGCAGCCAATCAACTTCCTGATCTTTAAATTGTGCTTCCCAAACTGATGTTATGAGAATTGGGTACGTACTTTTTTCGTTTTTGTATAATTCGGAATGTAACTGATTGCAATAAGAGTTCGTCGGAATTTGTGAATTGGGATGTCAAAGAACTAAAGGTTTTCGTGAGTTTTCTCGTCGGCAGCTCGGTCATCAACTAAAAAATGGGCGTTATTACTGCCCTTTAGAGCATAAAATTACGCAGATTTACAAATGAGCATTCTGAAGGAAGAAGGAACTCCTTTTCTTCAGAGAATGACGTGAACTCTTTAATCCTGCCTCATCTTTTTTGTGCGGGCCGAGAAGTCGAATTTCAAGTTGGAAGCGACAGTTTTGATCAGTTTTCTCGTCTACATTAATGCCCTTTAATGTATTAACATGTACAATTCGCAGATGTGGTCTGTAGTGGTTATTAGGCCACTATTAGCACACTATTACGGCCAAACTGACATGTCAGCCAGCCCACGTCTTTGTTCACTTGATGTTTAAATGATGATACACTCATGACTAACATCAGTAGGTTGGTGAGTTTTATTATGGGTATTTTAGTTCACTGTTGGGCATATTTTCGAAGGTTACGGACCACAGACCATAATCAGAGACCTAGCCTCTGCTGCGCTTTAATTTTGACTTTTCTGACCGATTCTAGCTTCTTTACTGGACTCAACGTCATGGCGCTGCCAGCTGTACCGAGTGCAAGCATACTTCTTGTCATTCTACTTGTGAGAGCCTTCCACATCCCCGACACCGCTATCCCCTTTCTCTTTGTTACGGATTTCATCATGTAAGCGATCCTTTTTGTGTAGATTCACTCTTTTGTGTGGAATCCAGTCCGCTCATATAGCAGTCATACGCGTAACTACCATCTTCACTGCAAAACCATGTCAAGTTTTCCTCTGCTACCATTTTTCAGATTTTTTTCCATGTGTAAAGTAGCCAATTTTGATCTGTTTTATGCCTTCCCATTGCCTGGGAAAGGCCCAAAAGTTAGCTTTCAGGGACCGTACCTCTAACGCCTGAAAGAGCGGATGTGCCCTTACCATCGAAACCATCAGACCAAGTTCCGGTTAACAGGTGTTTATTCTGTACAGAGATCTTATCCACCAAATTAGGCAACAATGATTGCTGGCGCGTCCCTGGTGTGTGTTAAGTCATACCAGAGACGAGGTATACCATCCTCTCTGCCTTTATACGTCTTGTATGGAAGATTGCCTCCTCTTTAAAGCTAACTCTTGAAATTAGGCAGAATCTCCGATTTTCAAAAACCTGCGTTTCTGAAATGGTTGGAGACGTGAGGCCTCTTATCCTCACATTCATTGGCGCTGATCGCAAAACTGACCAAGGAAGACAGTATCGATTGCTGCATTGCAGGATAGGCGCGTGGCCTTTTTATGGGAGTAAGTAAGGATCATGTTACTGTTGCTCAAATAAATGACCTGGCATGTGGTTGAGCAATCATAAGAACGAGTCCGAACGCGAGTTCAGCCGAAATGCAGGCGTATTTTTTAGTTTTCCGAAACACGTACAGGGCTTCTTTCACCGAAAGCCATGTATGTTTTTCTAAAAAGAAGCAAGATTTCTACAAAAAATGTGTAGGCGTTTGCGTATGGATTATAGACCAGCGGAAGGAATCTCATTTCTAATGGAATACACTTTTCGCGTGTGCGATGTTTCCAAATCAAAAGCCAGCGCTCAAATCTGCAGTAATTGGTTCCGGAGTATATTCCCTGTTCATGATCCTTGTAAACTTACTAAAATAATAATAGATCACCAGAATGTCGTTTGTTTCACCTATTTTGAAATAGGTAAGATATTTAGGATGTCTCCTGTGTATATGATGTATTTTTAGAGGCATGGAAGAATGGGTGATTCTCTTTACGCGGAGCGCATACACCTTGTAGATTGATCAGGCTCCAGATTAGTCGGCGATTAGAAAACATTTTCTAGAGCTTAGTGTACTCCGTCTTCGAGTATAAAATACAAAGGGGACGTAATTCTCCTTCAAGCGACTAAAACAACGCATATGCTCGTTCGGGTTTTTATAAAATATATTTAAATTGGCAAGACCACCAAAAGTCAATGGGAAAGACGTATGCCACTTAAATAGTCATTCTTTACCGAGTACGGTTGTATAGGCGTTTGAAAAGCAATGTAGTTAAAAGCGGACATCCTGCTGAGTCCGAAATATGATAGGATTATGCTGCGAGACAATAAGTATTACAACCGCCCCTAGGTTCTCATTCCTAATCGAAAACTCATTTCAGAATTTCAGTCAACATTTCTTGAGATCGGTCACCCACTGTACACCTAGACTAAGTGCATTGTTGTTAAGGCTGCCTAAGGCCATGGTTAAGAACATCCCCCAGCTCTCAGCAACAGTTGACATTTAATGAGTTGGCCCACCTACTGTATGTGATGGCGGCCGGAGTCATTTTAGAAGAAGACAGTTATGCAGAAGTTGTCCAGCGTACTTATCATTACTGAATTCAGATATTTATGCATCTCGTTACTCAAGTGTGTTTTCAGTGTTGTTAAGGCTGCCTCAAGCCATTGTGTTCTGACCTTGTTAAGAACATTTCCCAGCTCCTAGCAACGGTAGGGACGAGGAGAGGTCGTTTGAGGAATTCTAGCATACTTACGGGGATGTGCACTTATCTACAAGGTGAATTAGTATGTTTTCTAATTCAACTCAATGGAAATCAATCAACAGTGTCTTCAAAGATGCTGAGCACCTGAAAATGTCCGTGATAAACGAATCTATTTTCAATTTCCGCTTATCAGGCTTGTGCTGTTCACGAAGACAGTGCAAAGCTCAAATTTAGTAACGGGTAACTATCAGATTCCAGACGCCATTGCCGATTTATTTGAACGGTTTTTATGAAATAAAGGAATGGAAATTACATTTTGAGTACCAGGCATCGGTTATCTCCATATACTGTTAGCTGGCCTCGGGAATGAACTGGCTTGGTGATCTGAGAACACGGGCCAGTACTTTTCGTATACCGGCGAGGAACAGCTTTCCGCTTTGGTCGTTCGCTTCCAATAAACTACCCGAAAATTCATAAGTCTAAATACATTGTACGGTAATGCGTGAATCATTGTGAAATCTCTTCACGTGCATCACAGTATTGCTGACAAAATTGCCTTTTTTCAGTTGGTGGCACGCCGAAGACCAAAAATGCGTCATCAGTTCTTATTTCTATTGCACCCAACTGATAAATCAATGTTAGACGCTGTACAGCTAATGTCTCTGAAGCGGACAGTGTTCACTTTCAACATCTAAACAATTATCAGTCCTCACGGAAACGATACTAGTTTTGCTGACATGCAGGTAGGGTTATTTTCGATGTGTTTCAGACGTTGCCTGCCCAAAGCGAGCACCATCACACACACATACACACACGCACACCCATCGCCACCCAAGGTGCTTTGGGGCCAACTATGCCGACCTGACCTTTGCGACTGCATGCAGGGCACGCAGACCTGTTAGGTCTTTTAGTTAGGTCATCACAGAGTGCATCAGCCTGTCTCCCGTTTGCTCTCAACCTCAGGACGCTAACCAGCAAATAGGCTTTCTAGGGGACAAATGTTACTAAAGTGTGGTTTAAATATGGATAGAGTTAGAAGAGCCTAACTCATGCACGGTATTATTACAGCTCTTGGTGGAAACTCTTGCCGACCACCCGCTTAAATTGCACCCAGGAAGTGTTATATAAGTAGAGTGGGCTTTGGAATTGATTTTCCATGCTTTTATCACTCCACTCCCGTCTAATAGAAAGGATATGGAAAAATCATATCAGACTGTGTTTTGTGTAGCAGTACGTTTTTCCCATTCTTATGTCTGATTGGACCATATCCTTCGGTTTAAAGACATTTCACCAATGTCTAAATATTTCTTAACCAACTTTTTAAGACTGCATTCTGCGTACTTTGCGCAGGAAGAATTCATTTTGCCATCACTTTTACCTACAGACAAGTTAAGTGCTCCGAAGTTAATGCGAATTGTGTGAAGCACACGGCACACTGTAAGTAGCATTAATAAACTTACAGACGTTAGACCGCTGACCATGTGAGCTTCCCAAAAACGCTCATAGTTACGAAAGCTTTTAAAGCCGAAACGCGTTCCTCCTTCAAGTGCAAAATGTAAAGATGTGACTTCCTAAAAATTTCATAGAAGATGGATTTCCTTTCATATTTACTACGAAACGTTGCCGAATTAGTAAGCGCAAAAACTGCAGACATTGCGCAGGTTACTTTTTACTAAGGCGACTTTCACAGACGACTGTTCTGATGACCAATCGTAAGCCGACATGCTGCCATGTACGGCTTATTTAACGGTCGTTCCCTAGCAGTTAATGTTAAAAATTTACTTAACTAATTGTTGCCAGTCATATGCACGGTTTTCAATTGAGGTCTATGTTTTGTAGACTAAGGCGTGTGTTTTGTGCATGGCTGTATAGAATTGGAGCCAGATCTAATAGGTCTTGTTCCAACACTGGCTTTGCATACCGAGCTGTGGGCAAATAACTTGTATCCTCTGCCTTAGCGACGCCCTCCGATCGCCAACCAATGTCATGAGTCACACAACTTGCTTGCTGATGGTCAATCATTTCGAAAAACGCGCTGAACTGTCGGCCATGAGGTCTGAAGTGGGCATCATCGAGGAGACTTCACCGTCAGACGACCCCAGGACGGAAGAAAGTCCAGTTGCCGCCTAGAAGGACGGCTGCTCAGATTCAATTCGCTACTGACCCCTATACCGTCCAGCCAACATCTCATCCCCGTCTTCATTTTGAAGCCTTTTACTATCGTCTAAGATCATTTTTCCTATTGTCAATCATCTGCGCGCGTGTATTTCAGTCGGCAAATGTTTTGGCTATTTCACCAGCATGTATGCATGCCATCCTGGTAGAGGTCCGATGTTTTTTAAACCTAAAAGTTTCTTGAATTTTTCATTTTCCCCGTCTGCAAGAGGCTTAGAGAGAGGGCTGTCAAGTTATGGTAGTAAGAGTGATCTCTCTCTGGTTTGACAGTTGGTAGCACAAGCTAACACACAAAAACATGCGTAAAAGTGGTAAAATTTTGTTAAACAGAACAGGCAGGGCATTTTCGGATGGTGAAGGGTTGTCAAAACTTTTGTATTTATCGCCTTGAGCAGCTGAGCATTAACGGATACGGGTTAAGTATATGTGCGGGGCAAGGAAAACTGTGGAGAACTATCTACAGTATCTTTAAAAGCGGGTGTTATCCGGTAGAGCTTTTGGTCGGCCCTTCGTCGGCAGGATGGAATTCGCTGGTGCGTGCCGCCCGAGGAGTCGACGCTGCCGAAAGGTCTACATTGGTTCATCCTTCTGCACCCCCGCGCGTAATTCTTTAGCAAGAGGACAGCGCATTCTAAGCAAAAAAGTTCGGCGAGGAGAACAGTCAGGTAGTAAAAAAATTATCTAATTATTGTTCGCTGGAATGCACACGTTTACCAGTGAAGCAGGAGTGTTAAAACGCTGTTGGAGTTGTTAAACAACAGTTGGCAGTCTCTTGCGCCGGCGTATATACTTAATTTTTGCCCATTAAGGTCGCCAAGCAGATCGGATCTTCCAGCCAGAGTAACTTTGTTGGGTTTCGGATTTACTGGATTGCCATCAAATCTGCCTCGAGAGCAGTATGCCCCACTCTTCCTCCTTACAACCATTGCTCTGTCTGTGTTATCTGTTAGCGTAGGGGGCAAGGATGCGGTCTACCGTCCTGCCTACCGTTATCTGTGCCTTTGGAATCGGCGCTTCTAACAGCGGCCGGCTAGTTAAGACGACACCTAGTAAACGGCCAGAATCCTCCGTTGAAGCCTCTTTTAGTAACATTTGATGGGACCTGCTTTATTTATTTATGCGGTTGCTGCAATTGCTGACCTATAGCTGGTCCGAAGGTCGTGATGACCATGTGTATTTTTTATGCTGCTTTTACTGGGAAGCTAAGTCATCCTTTATTGGGTTCTTGCAGAGAATACAAACGTCGCTACTGGAACTCTCTCTCTATACGGACCGTCACATGTCATTTTGGTGGTTGGTCTCCTCTAGTGGTCGGCCCAGGCACAGCGCAATAGGCAAATGATGCCTTGAATAGTATGTCGGCCAGGTGAGCCGCGGGGGAAATAGTTTCGTTCCTACGCATCTTCGGCCTCTTTGCCAGTCCCTGAGCGTTTGAAGATGCGGTGCCTCGACCGTGACCAAGTTCATCTACATTCGATGACCATCCGGAGGCACTATCGAAGTTGCCAGCTTCCAGTGATGTGATGCTCCGTGTCTTTATGGCCCTGAACATTGCGCAGCGCACGAGTGCCACGGCAGGGTAGAATCCCGGTTGTCCGCAGAAACTGCCGAATCTAGAGTGCTTCTCGCAAGCAAGACCAGTTCAACCACCAGTAACAGTGTCAGATGTTGGTGAACGCCTCCCTGCCACGAATAGTTTATTTTGTATCTAGGGGTTTTATGAATACATTGTAAGATATGGTTATGTAGCCCCACCTGATGCACACAATACTGCTGGAGTTGGGGTTGGAGTTAGGGGGTTAATGGTTCGAGTTAAGCGGTTATGGTCAGGGACTAGGACAACTATTTCTCAACCACTCAAAGTACAATCGCGCACTCTCAATAGCTTTTCTTTTGCATACAACTACTTGACCTCGTCGCCTGTGCGTTCCCCGGCCCCACCTGTAAAAACCCCAACTACCAACGGTTCCGTATTACAGGTGGCTGGGGTTTGTTCACTTTAGGTGGGACTACATAACCACATCTGACCGAATAAATTTTATGTTCCCTTTCGGACCACATGGGACAGAACGTATCAAGGAAATCTGTCAGTCACTTGCGGATGTGCAATAAAAGATGCTTATCCTTTGAGGCGTTTATCCTGGTGCTTGAGTCACAAAGCAACATACTGGTAGAGATCCGCAGTTTTCAAGCGTAATTACACACTGTACTGACCACGGCACAGTGGGGAGCGGCGTTCAAAAGTTCGTTGTGGTTGTGGTATATGAGAGAGATACCGTTGGCCCTTACCTGCGGGCGTCAGCAGCTGTTGATGATGATGGTGCTTAGTCATCAATGAGACACCGGTGCTCAAGGAAAACGGATAGAGAAAGGACCAGTTTTAGTTTGCCCTACATCGTCAAGAAGAAAGACTTAATCAGAACTTGAAGATCTAGTGCTCTCTCGAGTTTAGTTTGCTGCTTCGCGAATGTGAAAATCCATTCTACATAGGGATCTGCTGACTTTGGTAGGTACGCCTACCTCAATGATGGGTCTATACCTGCTATACAACCGCCTATGAAGACTGTGGCCTTGAGTTTTGAGGCAGAACGGGATCTGTGATTGCCACGTGCATTTAAAGCAGCCCTGAACACGCCATTTCGAATGCTGAGAATACCAGCTACATAGTGTAGGGCATTAACACAATAGTCAGGCGTTGGAAGTCACGACTGTAGACCTGGTTCTTTGAGGCCTTTCCGTATTTGGGTACGGTACGGCTATCTATTAACGGCAAATCATTCAATCGTTTTGGTACATCTCTGTGAACAAAGATACTGGGTTTAGAGTCCACATCGATTAGGCGAGGCATAGGCACATGGTTCAGAGGTGATGGACTTCCCAACCGCATCTCTCCGTCTCATGGACAGAGTATTTTAGGAGTCCGTGTTGTTTCTGATCGTGGATGAGCAGAAGATCTGTCTTAGACGTATGCAGTTGTGTCCACCATGCGGATCTGATAGTGTCTCGGTAATGTCCTTTAACTTAGGAAACGCAGGACATGTGTCTGACAAGTACACGTTTCTGCAGTATATTAAAAATGTGTCTTGAATATTCTGCTGAAATTCGGTTGTTTTCGATCTTGTTGAACTGCACGGCGCACCCATTTACCCGATATCGGTATGTTGAATAACAGAGACTAAAACTTAAAAATGACGAAAAGTCCCCGAAAACCGATCTAAGAGTCGTCACCTTCAAACCCGTTTTCCAGGATGTAATTATTTGGATTCCATCTGGCTGCAAGCGTGGTTGAACTCTGACTTATGACAGACGCCCAGGATCATACAAATATCAACGTAATCTCTCATATGCCAGACTATGGCGATTTTATTGGTTATAACGCCAAACTTAATAAATGTGCTAAGGAAAGAGGTGACCGATAACTCGTTTTGTCTAAAGGTCCCTTTTTGCGACAGCTTCCAGCCCCTTATAGCCGTGGTCTCATTTTCATCGCCAGCACTTGCATGTGCGCGCTTTGTTCCGTAATCTGACATTTGAAAGGACGCAATGCGCCTCGATTGCCGGATGAGCTTATTGGTTAAAACTATTCCATAACTCTGGAGGATTAGCCATCAGAGATACCTCCTGACTGTAGAAGTGCGTACACATTCAGCTTGCTTGGCCTTGGAGATCGGCGCCTGTAGTCAACGCAGAAAGCGCGGAAGTCAGGAATAATCGGTGAACATTCCTCACAAACAAGGTATTTTCCATCTCATTCGGCAGAGCCTAGGGCCAGTGGCTCGAGCAGTTGGAGCGCTGACCTTGAAAGTGCCCAATAATCTGTCAGAGTCCAGTTTAAACCTCGGGTGCGGCAGCACCTGCAGTTGGAATACCAGTGACAGCAAGAGTAAGACTAGCTTTTTGTTGGAGTTGGTGTATTTATGGTTGCTACTTATTTCGCTTCAGTAGGTTGTATTAATTAGGCTTCAAGACTGAATCGTGGTATTTAATCCGGTTAAAACCTTTTCGCGTAATCCCTCGTTCTTACTTTGCTCTTACAAACAGAATGCATTTCAGGTTACTAGTTAAACCGGCTAGGTAATTTTACT